ATAGGACAAAATGTGCATCCTGGATTCCACTGCTGGTCATCATCCACCAGTTAGCATTCTACGCTTAGCTAAATTCATATGATCTGGTAATCTGATTACCTCCTATCTATTAGTCTGACCTATTTATTTCGTCTTACAGTCCCCGTTCCTGTCGATTGCCTCCAACCATCTAATATCATCACAAACAATGTACACCGTGATGGCGAGCTACTTAGAATGGTGGCCACATTACAACCTGACTGATAGAATTCAGTCTGCACCAAAGAGAGGACTAAACGCATCACACTAGTTACTAGTGTCAAATCAAAACATTCTTAAATGATATTTACAGTGTTTATTTTACTTTGTCGCTAGTGTGAAGCCGAGATTATATGTCTGCTCCTAAGTATTGGTGCTGACTGACATCAGTCAGTCAAGTTTGTAAAGTGCTCACGAAGTTAGGTAAATCGTCACCGTAGTGTGCACACTGAATTAGTGTTCAGTGGTTGGAAATAACCTTCACACGACCCTGCAACTAGATTCCATGCTCGTCAGCAGAACACGTCTGCAACTGCAAGGGAACTGATATCGCCTCGTATATATCAACTGGTATCACCCAGATCTGCAGTCAACTATTCAGGCTCTAACATTACTACCTGGTTATTGTCGATAAGTTGAACAGTCAAAAGGTTTTACTTCAATTCACATATTTATTTCCAAATGATCTCTCAGCACAGTTTCAGATTATTGGGACTTTCATTGATGCATCTTTTTCGACTCGTCCACCGAAGATTTTTTTCACCAGCTTGACTGTTGTTGTTTATAATGAAGTCGCGGCCTATGCCGTTTTTTTCATTTCCTAGCCTCCCGAGTGAAACATAGCGCTTCAAGGTTTAAAGTTTCAGGGAGTGGTTTCTACGGGGTGATGTTATTAGCCTCACAACCAGCCTTCCTTCATTCCTGGGCTCACTACTACCGAGTAGTAGACTAAGCGAGGTTGTGGAGTGTATCAATCGGAAGTTGAACCATGAACGCCCAAAAGGTTGGTGAGCATTAAAGAAGTGAACAACTGATAAACTGCACTGGTTTGTATTGACCAGTAATACTGATCGAATAATAGTAAGTAAAGTCAAAAAACATTGCCAACAGTTTGCTAAAATATAGTACTTTTCATCGCGAACTGACTTTATTTAGATAGCCACTGAAAACCACCGACTTATGGACAGTTGTTTCGTTGTGGTTTGCAGCCATTTAGAAGTAGGAACCCACTACCCCACCAGGGATAGATCCCGGAAACTTCAAGTCAGGAGACTAAGCTCGTTGACTACTGCAAGCCACTGAGACGGAATCCAGTGTTCCGTGAATTCTATCCACTACCAATTCTCGCCATATTGCACAATCGCCAGACGGTGTAATCGGCAATTATATCTCCTCACACCCAATCTAGTGGATCCCACCGGTTTCCCCTGTTCTTCAATAGTTTTCTAACAGGAGTCTATCTTAAAATCAATCAAATCCCTGTAATTCATCCACTCATCAAGTAAGATAGGTCAAAGGTCAATTAGTTCAGTCATGATAACATTTGGATAGCAAATATTTCAATTACATTAGTTAGGATCGATGAAAAGGTGGCAATTAGAAAAGATAGACAACTTACTTATGAGGTCATCTGCGGGGTTGTTAGTTTATGTAATCTGGTCGTGTTTGTGTGTATATATGTGACTTAGGACTTAGTTTTCTACTTATTTGCCCTGACTTAGTTAAACGTGAACAGGGTATGATTCAAAAGGATGATGACTTATCATTTTTTCGCTTTCACTATCGCAAGTTTGACAGTGTACCGTAGAAATCCATTGAGTTCCTTGACTGTCGAGGGGTCCTTGCTACTTTTTAATTCATGAATAATTCCCATTCGGACATTAGTAGACAAAAGACAAGTAGATCAGCTGATCATCATTTTTTGTTCCCTTAAATCCAAAATTGGTGTTCCATATTTGTTGTATATATCCTGCCCCCATCTACCAAAACCCAGCTTAACTGCTAGTGTAGTGATGTCAAACTGATGGTTACGCATTCAAAAATTGATGAAAAAACTAGTAGCTCAGGGAAGAGGCTCTTCTCAACGATTTCATTTTCTTTAGATGTACAATAGCAATTATGTGCAACACAGAATAGATAGTAACGATAGAGATGAACAGTCATAAACACAGTGGATTATTCCACAATAGAGTGAATTTATCTGATAAAGTTTTACAGTGTTATACAGCATTATTTATTGATAAGAGAAACTGATCCAATGGTCCTTGAATTCTAACTTCTGCCAATTCACGACATATCGTGACCATTTCACAATGTCTTCTTCGATGACTTAATGCCTCATCTTCAACCTGCTGTACCCTACTGGTCACGGCTTCCCACCAGAACCCTAGGTTAACTGCCTGAATAGGGCCAGTCGCTAACTAGTCCCAGACTAGGACGAAACAGCTGTCCAGTACTCCCAGGTTTTCCAGTGGTTCTCTAACTGATGTCAGCTCATGATTTAATCCTCCATGCAATTAAACAAAATCCCTACAAAACCAATACCTGACAATAGCATTTACATTTAACAGAAATCGAGAAACCAATCAGATAGTGATACGCAGGCTCTTGAAAATGTATTACACAATCGGAAGTGTCATCTGGAAGGGGGGTGTGTGTGTGTGACCAGGTGGAGATTAGAAAAACAGACGGAATTTGAAATTACGTAATAAGTGTGAAAGTGACTAATGAATCTAGTTGAACAAAAGCCAATGGAAACATGGTAAATTATTTTTGTAGAATCTGATTGAAAAATGTAATGTTATTAATAAATGAAAGTAGCGATAATAATAATAAACTAGAACAAAACAAGAACAATAAAATGAAGTAAATTTGTAGTAAGAACGTCGCTCTGGCGACTGTAAGGCGAGTGAGTGTATGTAGTGATTTTGAACACGGAGGTCCGGTTTCTGATTCGGAATTGTCGATGATTCGACTGTGCATATTTGAAGTAATTCTATTATCAGAATTGCGCTTTTCATACTGATTTTATAAAAGCACTTTTCCGTATTAGCACTAGCTTAGGTTCATTTGTAGGTGTTGTGGGTGACTTTTACTAACTAGTCATTTTACACACTTATTATGTAATTTCGACTTTCATCACTGTTTCTAATCTGCACAAATCCGTTCCCATTCTTGGTGACGCCGCAATTTACGTATTACGGTTTCTGGAGCACAAGTACCAGTATCTTGTTGATTTCATGCATTATGCGTAAAATCTATTTTGATGAAGTCTCACAATGTTATACATTAATATTTACTGATGACCTTTCGAGCACAGTTTATTGTTCATAGAGGATTTCATCATGAGCTGACATCATTTAGAAAACCATTGGAAAACCTGGGAGTACTGGACAACTGTCTCGTCCTAGTTTGGGACTCTTCAGCAGCATGAAGGTACTCACACAACTTTCTAACTTCGTTAATATAATTCCATTAATTTTCAGGTTTCGACTTGATTGATACTAGTATTTTCCTATTGCACGTGTTGGGTGTAGATTCGATGAACAAGGATTTAGTAATCAATCTCTCTCTCCACCTACCTATATTACTTCTTAGAATTTTAACCCACTCCCATCCTACTGTGTGGTTGTGTGTTAATGCCTGCAGTGAAATAATCGCTGAGCTTTTTTCTAAATTACTTATCTTTCAGGGTCAACCATTCTTATGTGCCGACAATTTGACTACCCCTTATCTACTAGTTTGACCTATGTAGTTGACCTCACAGTTTTTGTTAAGTATGAATACGATTGTACAGTTCTGGAAGATGATTCGTCGAAGAAGGAATTTTCTTCAGTTTTGAATCTTCTGTTATTTTTATATCTGAGATAGCCTTGAATTAGCAGGCTACTGCTATTGTAATTAATAACGACTAAATGTGTTCTAAAAGTCATAGTTCCGATCATCAGCCTCCTGACAAGCCTGATACTTTCCCACCTGACCTACAAGACCCAACTAGGCAGCACTGTAAAAGCTAAAACGACTTTTTTGGTGATTTCTGACTACTTTACGCTTACGGCTTTACTGAACAAACAAACTAAGCGAATTGTGGAAAATTCGTATTAGGACATGTAGAAAATCAAAGCAAGTGATTCAGAGAAGAGACTCTCTACAAAGAATTTATTATCCAAGCTTGTACATCCATATAAATACTTGATTTACAGCTCGGTAATAAATAACCAACTAGTTAATTTTTACGAAAACTCCTTTGAGTTTTATACAATTCTG